AGAAGGAAGATCTGGGAGATTCAGGCAGAGAAAGATCAAGAGGAGGATAACATGGCCACAGATGGGGCAAAAAATGGGGAGGCGGCGGGCTTAGTCCCTTAAGCCCGCCGAATACACTGGTTGAAGGTGTGAGGCTGAATGCTGATGGATGGGTCCTAGTTGCCTGGCAGTATGAAGAATGCTTTTTATCCTGTTTTGTTTGCTGTTTAATTACTTTTAGATTTTATTGTTGGTTTTATTACTGGTTTAATGTTTTGGTTTGTTCTTTGGTTTCAGATGTAGGGGATGAAGGAAAATTGGTAACCGAGGTAGGCTTATTGTTTCCCGGTTATGGATCAGCGGATTACATTGCTACGGCGATTAATTCCGAGTCTGATTCGAGAGATGACGGTTATCAATTCTCTACTCCCTCCGTAACATATATATATGTTCCCATTTGGAAAGTAGATAGATTAAGAATAGTGAAAGGAGATATAAATTATTGAGGGTATGATGGGAAGATAGTAAAATAATGTGATGGAATGAAGGATAAATCCAAAAAAGTAGGTGTAATATTGTATTATTTTTAAAATTATTAAGGGTATGATGAGAAGATTTAGAAATGAGAAGATATGAATGTTACATTCAAAAAAAGAAAGTGAGAAGATATGAATGTTACGGAGGAAGTATTTGTCAGTTGACCCATACACCGAACTTTTATTGGTTATTAAAATAAGCCGATCTCCATAAAAAAAGACTTATAGTCTGACATTTTTATTTACGTCCGTGTAAGAGATGAGGGACAAGCCCGGTGAGTTAAGGCCTGAATAAAATTAACAACTCCAAAAAGGTTTGAGCAGACACATCCAAGTTTGTTTTGGTATGGAAAATTAGTACTCCGTATTACTAATTTAATCGTTCTAAAATATATTTTCATTTCCATTTGGAATAAGAAAAATGTTATTAAAGTTATTTTCCTTTCTTTTACTTTCTTTTTGCACGTGCATATCAAATTTGGTCAAGTTAAATTGCTAAGGGGTGGGAAATTTTTTAACCAGGGGCGAAATGGTAGTCTCTTGCTCGAAAAGGAAAAGTAAAGTAACTCTTCTCAATTATTGAAGAAAACAAGATTACAACATCTTTTTCACCACCTACTTTTGCATTTAATAAATTTCTTTTTATAAAGTAAGAGCTCGTTTTGTAACACTGATATCGACTAAATCTGTTGATTCTACTGAAATTTATGAAATTCTGGCTAAAGTGGATGTATTGACCGATTCTACCTATTTATGAAAAAAAATTAATAAATAAATAATTATATGAAAAAATAGTTAAATTGGTTATCTACAGTAACTTTACTCAATACATCCAGAAAAGTAACTTCAGCCTTACTTTTTCTTATTATTACACAATTCAGCGTGCGAAATCAAGAGTTATGTGTTTAGTTAAAAAGTTGGTTGATAAGCTTGATAAGCCGAAAAACAGAGTCACCAAACGAACTCTAAGTTTCTATCCCCGTTGGAGTGAGAAGTTTAAATTAAAAGTCGCTCAACTTATAAGCTTAAATATAGATTATTTCCATTGTCATTTTATTTAAATGTAAATAACACGGAATCTTTTGGAAAGAAGGCTTCAATATTGTTGTAGAGTAGATAACACGGTGATATAAATTTTAATACTACGTATTAATTTTTTAATATGGTATACATTTAATGTAATAATTTTGTATTTCATTTTAATATTTTAAATTATGCAGTGAATACAACTATACGGCACATTAATATGTCTAAAAGCCCGTTTGGTAATCATCTTTTGAACTTATCAAACTTATCAATCAATTTTTAACAAATATGTAACTCTTAATTTCGACGTTGAATTGTGTAACGATCAAAATAAGCAAAGTTGTGGTTATTTTTATGATTGAATTCCTGAAGTTACTCAAGAGGATCATTCTGGCTACTTTTCATATACTTTTTCTTTATTTTATTAACAAAATACATTTAAGTATCATTTCTCCATAATTTAGCATATTCCAATTACTTCAGAAAGAACTTAATCAATTTGAACATATTTAACCAATTTAGTATTACCAAACACGCTCTAAGAGTTTAGGACACATGTTTTGGTGAAAGTGTGAAATAGTGACTTACACTGAGGGAGTGTTTGCAACAACTTAAAAAAACACTTCTCATCTTTCGGCTTAAAAAAACACTTATTTACCAAACACTACCAATTTTTACTTTTACTCGGCTTGCGTGTAAAAAGTGTTTTTCCCTTTTTTATTACACAAAAAACACTTATTTTACCAAACACTACCAACTTTTACTTTTCAAAAATCACTTTTTTCTCAAACACTATCAACTTTTACTACTAATCATTTTTTCCTTACATCCCCAAAAGTGCTTTTTTTAAGCAGAAGCAGTTGCAAACACTCCCTGAGCAACTCAATTTCTTAATCGGATAGAGTATGAAAACATTTCAGCAAGATAGGGATTAAGGATGAATCAAGTAGTGAGTTCCTCGGGAATAAACCAATGAAATCTAACATACTCCCTCTGTCCCACTTTAAGGTTCCCACACGATTTACGATGTTTGACTGACAATAAAGTTAACTGATCCCTGTGATTAATAGAATTATTTTTAATAAATAAAATTTACACATTCAGAAACTACATCAAAACCGTTACAAACCCTTCAAAAAATAATTTAAATTTCATAAACTTTCGATATATAAAGTAAAAGATTAAGAACAATGCACGTTGACCGGAGAATAGTGTACGAGAACCTTTAAATGGGACGGAGGGAGTATTAGGCCTGGGACCGGTTCAGTTCCTAGGCCAAATATGTGGAACCGTTTGAAAATATGAAATTTTACTAACAGTTCGGTTCTTATAAATTATTTTATAGAACCGATAAGGAACCGAACCGTTCTTAACGGTTCGGTTCTTGTCTTTTAACGGTTCTTAGTCTTCGAAAAAAATCTTACAAATCATGACTAAATTTTTGCCAAAAAGACATTCTACGTTTGAAATTACGATACAAATATGTTTAAACAGTTAAAGAGAATAATAATTTTAAATACTTTGGCCCTTCAAAGTTCTGACCCGCTGGAGTTTGGACCTAATGAGAGGTTTAAGAAGCCTAAGAGAACCGGTTGAAGTGAATAATAGTTTTAAATAGTTGAATAACTAAACTAAAACAAGTAACTAAATAAACATTAATTATTATTTTTTTACTCCAGTGGGGGTCTGGGGGAGGGGGGGCAGGGGGGGGGGCTGGAGTAATCAGGGCTGAAACCCACTCCATTGAGTTTCACACCCTTGTGTGCCTAGCGGGATTCGAACTTGAGACCTCTCACTAGGCACGGTAACCTCACAACCAGCTAGGCTGGAATGCTTGGTTTATAAACATTAAAAAATAGGAAAAATTGAAAATAATAATCCCAACTATTGTCGGTCCGCTGAAAATAATCCCAACTATTGATTTTTTTTGTATAATCCCAACTATATAGACTGTCCGCCAATAATGGTCCATGACCAGATATTACCTCTATAAAAAGTGAATTTAACATAGAAATTAAGCGTAAAAATTAAAAGTTGAGATTATTTATAGGGATTACTTGTTATATCTCATCTCATCCACTTTAGAAACTACAAGAATTTATTCATATGGACCATTATTGGCGGAAGGTCCCTAAAGTTGGGATTATTCTGGAATAATCAATAGTTGGGATTATTATGAGCGGACCGCCAATAGTTGAGATTATTACTATCAATTTTTCCTAAAAAATAAATACTCATAAGAAATATACATTAAAATAAATATACTCATAAGAAATATATATAATTTTAATTATTATATATAACGGCTCCTTAACGGTTCCTAGTACATATTTTTTTCAAAAACCGAGAAAAAATGAATGTAATATACAAATAAGTAAGTAAATATACATTAAAATATATATACTCATAAGAAATATATATAATTTTAATTATTATATATAACGGTTCCTTAACGGTTCCTAGTACATATTTTTTTCAGGAACCGAGAACCGAACCATTAATAAAAAATAGGAACCGAACCGTTAAAAAATAACTAATAAATGTTGGAACCCAACCGAACCGGGTCATAACGGTTCGGTCCGGTTCGGTTCTCCGGTTCTTGGTTCCAAAGTCCCAGCCCTAGGGAGTATAAGATATCAGGCTTTCTGGCCTGGTCAATATGATGTAATTTGAATGTTTCTTGTATGATATAAACCTTTCTGAATTGGTCTAATTTACTACTCCCTCCGTCCCGCAAAGATGTTTCCGCTTTCCTTTTTTGGATGTCCCAAAAAGAAGTTCCCCTTTCCCTGAATAGAAAGATATCCTACATCAAAACAGTGTCAAGCAGTGCAAAATAGTGTCAAACAGCGTCAAACAGTGTCCAAACAGTGTCGAAACAGTAAACTTTACCCCATGGTATGTTTATTTCCTTAATATGTGTGTAGGTCAAACCAGGAACATCTTTGCGGAACGGAGGGAGTATAAATCTTTTTCTGGTCTGATGCTCTAAGTCAGTGGAAATGTTTCTTGGTGGTCTAAATCTTTATATCCGGGTATGATTTATAAATGTTTCTGGCCAAGTTTCTTGCATGAAATATAGCATCTAATGTCAAATTTGAATCTATCTGGTTTAGCTTGAGTTGGCCTAATCTATTGTTCTGTTCTAATCTTGAACGTATCCCACACAATTGAATGTTTCCTATGAAATAGAAAATCTAGTTAAGTGAATTTGTCTGCTGTAGTATTATTCTTGTCTAGTCAGAAGGTGCAACATCCTGCATGGCGGGATTTGAATGTTTCTGGTAGTCTAATATGAATCATTCCGGACGTCTGATTCGATCATAAGCAAAAAAAGGAGGGACAAAGCAGCTGTATAAAATTCTTAGGATGTAGATATAACCTCCACATGCTGGAAGAAGGCAAATCCTTGACTGATCAGTAAATTTTGTGATACTCATACACCAAAAGAAAAGAGCAGGGGATTCAAAAAGGGAACGCATAGAAACTATAGATACCCAAAAACAGAGGCCATCTTGTCTTGAAGGGAATTATTGCTCGCCAAATGGGGGGAGGTTAAGCCTGTACATTTTCCCCCCTGAAACATCTCATTGTATTATTGTTTATCCCGTGGACCGCCAAACCCACATATCCAAACAATTAAAAGTAATATGATAATCATATTTCATCATTTGCTAATCATATGAACCTCCAACTATATGAAAATTTCAACTGAATCATTCAAAATTAACAATACATTCATTCTCGTCACAGACAAAACATATAGAGAGACAAACATGGAACGGTAATAGAATTACTAGATGAGTTTGAAAGGAAGAGGCCATGGAGTGGACCTAGGGACCTCCAATTTGTCCTTGATGCGTTCGATCTTCTTCTCCTTCTTAGGCCTTGAGTTTCCGAACGATCCTTTGAACCGCTTCCCCTTCTTTGTCTTCTTATCCCCTCGGCCGCACAGGACCGGCGCTTCTCCCATCGCCGGTGTGCTGCGGCTAACTGAAGACGACTGTGACAAATACGAAATCCGCCGTTCCGATGCGACCACCAACCGCTTCGCCGCCGTGCAGCACCAGACCGCCGCCATTGCGTTTTACCCCAATCTTAAACCCTAGAGTTCTGGAGACGGCTGATTCCAGCGAGTTAGTGGGTTTTTGGAGGGGTTTCTTTTGGAAGCTCCACACTCTTTGACTCGGATCTGATTGGGGGAGCCGCTTGCTTCTTTTGAGATTTCTAAGTAAACGATTGTTTTCCCAAGTAAACGATTGTTTTCGGGTATAATGAAGTTCAACTAAAAACATCATAACAGCATTTCCCAATGATAAGCTAATTTCCCTTATATCTTGATTAGCTACACAAGCATTTGAAGCAAAATTAAAAAGTATTTCAATGGTTTTCTTCAATTATTATTATTATAAATATTATATTTAATAATTCTTCTTGATTAAGTTAGTAGCTCATTTTGATTAATTAGTTTTATAAAAAACAATGGTAAGCTATTAGCTTTAAAATTGCAAGCAAGGATGTTTTTACTTGAACTGTAATTTGCTGGTCTGGTCTAATCTGATCTGGTCTGGTCTGGTAAGGTCTGGTTTCTTTGTATTTTTAAAACTATCCAAGTCTGGTCTGATCTGGTCTGAACTGGTCTGGTCTGGTTTGGACTGGTCTAGTCTGGGACAAATTAATCATTGGAGATGCTCTAAGAAGGGTGACATACTGACATGATAGCCACACGGGCAATGTTACATTGTACCCGTTTGAGGTTTTTGGTTAGTTTATAGGTTCAATTGGGTGAATATCTTATGCAAGAATCTAATTAACTTTTTCATTATTCTATTCGTTATTTCCATTGTTTTACCTTGAGATCAATAATCGAATTAGAAATCATCCGCTTAATGATGTGTTTTCCAAATCCCCAACAAGGCCCAGAAATGCCAGAATGGTTCAATCTGAATTGGGGTGGATTTATTTCTGGAATCGAACTTGACTGAAATTGAGCAGGTAAAAGCCGGCCGAACTACCTGGATTCCAAACCAGAACTAGTATCCGAATCGGTCCAAACCAGTTCCACAAAATAGGACTTTAATTAACTCGCCTGACTCTGGTTTGTTCAATTTTTATTTGATTATTTTGAAAATTAACTGGCCTTGCTCTCAAAGAAAACTGAGGCCATTTACAACATTTAAACAGGTTGGTAGATAACTCGTATTTATCTTAAACAGATTTATTATTCAAAGTCTAATTCACGTTGCTATTTTTCTCGAATAAAGAGCACTCAAACTCTCAAAGGAAGCCAAGAGCAAGGGAAACGGTTAATAAAAGAATATTAAATGCTCAATTAATCATGGCCCTGCTCTCAACTCCAGGGATGGAGAGGGCGTTAGGCCCAGTAAGTTTTTTGTGTAACATCTTGTGATGATACTGGGGAAGGGTTATGGAAGTTAATTAGTAGAATTAGTAGTTACGCTGTGACTTGTGGAAAATAAGAGACCGATTTGTAGGAGTGAAAGCATGAAAGCATCTGAGGAATTTCATTCAGTTAAACCACAATGCACAGAAAATATGCTCAAAATGTCCACATCCACAGCTCTATATAATTCACAACTTTGGCGCTTTTACAGATGCAGGATTTGACTTGGACATAATTACAATCAACCCCTCAAGGAGTATTTTTTCCCTGTGAAAGGTTCAAACTTTGGCTCTTCTTTCTTTTGTGGTTCTTCTTTGGCAGGTTCCAGCTGCATCAAGGTTCCGTTTAGTATCCAGTTTTAGCTCATTATGCTTATAGCAGATAGTGTTAAATAACATTTTTCCCTTAAAAAGGATCAGCACATTCAACCATTTCAGCAAAAACTACCTGTCCCGAAAAAGAGGCATGCTGTGCACAAAGTAATTTTGCAATTATTTAGTCTAAGCACACTTCTAAGTTTATTTGTTGGTTTAACTAAACTAAACATTCTCAAATTGTTTGGGATATTTTCTGCAAAAAAACATTAAATATAATGAATTTAGCTTCTTTCTTCAAATATGACCCCTTATTTTTTTAGACACAAATAAGTTTTCAAATAAGGCCATTGTTTTGTGACTGAGGGAGTAATACTTACCAAACTAAACGGGCATAATGACTAACATGAGCAGGTGAAGAAAGTGCAAAGCAAAAAAAGGAACATTTAACTAACAAGCTTATGTATATTAGTGGAGATAGCATTTAAGAGGCAAAGAAAATGACACAACCTTTTGAGGCTCGCGGTTACGGTTCACATTTGATCCAAACACAAGCTTCCCTTGAGATTGACTATTTGTACTTTGTGGGCTTGATGCGGCAGAAGAAGATTGGCCAAGGGTTTTGGATGCATGGGGCTTGACTCCAGAAGGGGAAATGGGTGGAGGGTCATACTTCAAAGATTTCCCATCCAAACGCCTTCCTGCACCTGTAAAAGGGTTGAACTTGGGTATAGCCTCGACTGGACTCTCTTCACCTGTATTAAACATAGTAACAGATTAAACTCTACTAGTAAGCACCATTGAACAAATCTCACAATTTGCATTGAGTCTGCACACCTAATCTTAACTAGTAAGTTTAGGCTCCATTTGGCAGCAATAACTTGCTCATTCTACTTATCCAGAGAATAAGTAGCATTTGACTTGGAGAGTGTTTTGAGATGACTTATGTTCAGTGAAAGGGAACATGTAGTGCCCTACTTGAAAAAGCAGAAGAATGGTGGGCTCTTTCAAAAAAGTAACTTAAGTGGCTAAGGGAGAAAGCACTGATGCCACAAGTTATCCCAAAAAGACTTTTACTTAATACGCTGAAATTATTTCCTTTCACAAAATTCAGCACAAATAGCCCCACGGCCCCACCACATAATCCTCCGTAAAAACTAATACATGCACTTTCACAAGGAGTCTAATACATGCACTTTCACAGTCAATTATATACAACACCTTCAGAAGGGGATTTGTTTGGATGAGAAGAAACGGGTCTTTCAGGTTCCTTATAATCAAGAGGGGGAGCGAAGTCAACTTCACAGTCCGTTTCAATGACACTTATAGCACTAGCTGGCTTTGTTTCAATGATATCTATGTAATACTTTTTGTTGTTATAGGCCATCATTATACTATCTCCCGTGGTTAAGCAAGAGAAGTTCCTCATTGTTGTCTCTAAGCTGCACCAGAATGGAAAGAAGATTTAAATAATAACACTTGGGCACTGTTTGTTTCAAGGAAAATATCATATGGATAGGAAATTAAAAATGAATTCATTTTACATAAGTCATATATCAACATAGATATTCTTGTGGAAAAAATCAGAATGTTTTCCTTCAGAGAAATATTTTCCAGCGAAAAGGACATGATAATGGCTTTCCTGTAAAATGTTTCAGTCCAAATGCAAGAAAATCGGAAATTACTTTTTAGAAAAAAGTTTTCCTATAAACAAACAGAGCATTGGTGTTTCATAAAGAGTATATTAAAAAAATAGCAAACTCACATAGCCTTTGGGTTGGAAATATCCAGGAAATCTTTTGTGTGTGGTTGCAGCTTCACATATGTACCCTTGGGAAGAGCAACATTTTTCACTCGTACAATATCTCCTTCTTGCAACAACAAATTTTCCATCATCTACAAAAACCCACTCAATGAGATTATCACTGATTAAGAAAGCACACAATCCACATAAAACTCACACCAAATTCCTATGTATTTATTATTACCCAATATGGCATATATATCATCCCTTCTTCTGCAATGAACTCTAAAACACCGCAATGAGAAAGCCTCTCTGTTGCACAATTGCGAAGCTCAAACAGCATTGGATACTCAATATGCAGTGATGCTGCAAATTGATATTTTCATCAAGGGTTCGTTTGGAACTTGGAATAATACTATGGTAATAAAGTAAGAAACAAAATAATGAGAGATTTGAAAAAAAAGGAAATACTAGGAGAGGTTTTAAAGAAAAAGAAATGTAAGAAATAAAACATTGGTTCAAACTAAATATCTTTATGTTTGATGTTCGCTTGAACTCAAATCGATTTTATGTTTCTATTATATGAGCAATAACAAAACTAAGCAAACGTACTTCTAGAAACACTGATCTGTTTCATTTTCATTTTTCATTTACAGGATAAAATCAAGCACGAGAAGTAGCTGTTTTTTCCTTTCCCAAAACATCCTAAATATTTAGAACTGATTATTCAAATAAGAAAAGTGACAGAAACCAGTGAGATTAATTAAGATAGGGCTCAATCAGGTAAAAGTACTAGTAAAGGATGAAAAGAACTTTTAAAACTAACCAAGGCGATCAAGGGCAGATGGAGGCATTATAACTGAAATGGAAATTAGAAGAAAACATGAGCAATAATTATTCAGTAACATAAGAATCTATCAGAAAGAAACAGAGCACTTCTACCCACTTACTTTTGTCACCATTTTCTATCTGAGGCTGCAAAGAGAAATTTTTAACAGAATCAATATTTGTAGCAAGTACATACAAGATGCATTAAGTACTGAATACAATCTTGAGAAAACCATTAACTGCCCACTAAAAGAAGAATATGAGGAATATGATATGACAATGAAATCAATTTAAACTCTTCGAATGGATGAGAGAGAATGAAAGGGAAACAATCAACCTTATCAATAAAAGATGCAGGATAACACCGATATGTTTGCTCGAATGATGTTCCATGGTAACCATATCCATCAAAAAACTGCAATCCCAGAAACAAGTTTAAAAAGATGAAGGCAAAACAACATGAGAAAGAACAAAATGTTTGAACAGCAATAGACTGATAGCAAAAACAGTATACCATATAAAGAGGTAACATTTTCTTTAGGGTATGTTTGGGAGTTTGGAGGGGAGGGAAAGGCTTTGGAGATATGTTGTTGAAGGGGAAAATGGGGGGGGGAGGCTTCTTTGTATTTGGGAGTAATAAATTTGGAAGATGGTTTTTGAATGAATTATAATTAAAATCACTTTGAGATATGAAGAATTCAAATAATTAAACTGATATTAATTTTTAATTGAGCTTAAATTACCATTTTGTTAATGATCCTTCAAAACCCTTTAAATTTGGGGAACTCAAAAAATGAGCATTTAGAGGGTTTTGGAGAGTCACAAAAGCCCTCCAAAACCACCCCTCTGATTTTATAAACTCCCAAACATGAAAAGGAGGGTCATAAACTCCCATCAACCTTCCCCTCCCCTCCAAAACCCAACTCCCAAACACATCCTTAGAGAATAGTTGAAAGGCGCATACTGGACAAATACATATAATAAGAATCACGGAGAACGAGAAGTAAAACACAGATTACTAGGTCCTGATTTCCCTGATTACACAGAAAAGGCAGAACAGGCTCATCTGAGTCACCAAATTGTCTTACTCAAATGCCTTAAACAAGGCACTAATAATCGTGACAGCTCCAATTTTTTTTGTTTACTTGCTCATGTATTTGAGTGAAAGTAGAGTAAAACTAAATATTCTACAATATTATACTCCCTCCCTTAAGGAACTTCTCACTTTTCTTTTTTGGATGTCCCTAACTAAAATACTCTTTCCTTGTTGAACAAATTTTTATTAATTTACTCTACTACCTTAGGTAATAATGACAGCACAGTGTTCAACAATGTTATTCATTACCAATAGTATCAAAATAGTGTACTCTATAATGAAATTTACCCTCATTAAAAAGGACATTTCAGGAAATCAAAGAGAAAAAAATTATTTCCTTAATTCCTTAAAATGCATGCTATTAAAACCGGAAAGTTTAAATAGGGGCAGTGGTAGTATCTAATGATGCTTTGAATTGATTAGAGATTTTACATAATATTTAATAAAATTCTACTAAAATAGTTAGCTTTTCTCAGAAACACAGCTTAACAATAGATCACACCATCCCAGGAGAGATTCTTTCAAGACTTGTAGTCCATTTTTACAGATCGCAGATGCAATTAGATAGACAATGGTATACCATTGATACCAAAGCAATTGCAGTCAAATTGCAAGATAATTAATAATATTATAAATATGATGACGAGAACTTCTCAAAAGCAATTAAATGATTACTTCAAATACAATGAACAGCTAAAACTGCATACCATGATTATTATTTATAGAGAAAGGACGCTAAAGCTGGGAGGAATCGCTCGAGTAGGACACTCAACGGGGGTATTTGTTGATCGGATAAGAGGCGTATTACCTCGGAGACTGGGCTACGTCACAAAACAGTTAAAGGTCTGGTGGTGTTAATAAAGGACGGAGTATGTAGAAGTGCTGAAGGGAAGGGGAAGGAAGTCGCGAGAGGAAGCTCCGCCGCACTCAACCGACGTCACTGCTTCTATTCTTCCTAAACTATTTATCTAATTTAATTAATAGTAATTGCTCTGTATAGGTGTTTTTTTTAGAGTAAACAACAACTTATATTGATCCAATTCATGGTTGGCCAAAAGGCTTACAATAACATCAGGTTGGGAATAAAAAGTAAAATCACAATCATCTTCGAAAATAGCCGCTCGGGCCAACTTATGAGCGGCTCGATTTGCCGATCGTCTACAAGAGTTAATTCTTAAAAATTCATTTTCTCTAAGCAAGACTCTCAAATCATCAAGAATTATGTCTATATACAACATTCCCGAATCATCTTGTAAACCGTTCACCACCGAAGTTGCATCTGTTTCCACAACGACTTTCTCTCATTCATTACTACAAGCCCAATTTATGGCTTCCCGCACTCCACGAGCCTCTGTCTCAAGTGGAGACCATTCCGCTTGGACCGACTTGATCCTAGCTTTAATAAAGCGTCCAACACCATCTCTGGCTAACCACCCCCATGCTCTCTGGCCATTATCTTTCCCGATTGAAGCATCAACATTAATTTTTACCCTAATAATAGCTCTATATAGGATAAATAATGATAATAATAACAATTCATTCCTACCAGAAATGTCCCTACGGATATTATTTCATAAGAAATGTTTAATTCATAATAAAATCTCAAAAAGTAATAAAAAATTTGAAAAAAAAAATAAAAGCGTACAAAAATAAAAAAAGAATTTTAAATATAAAAAAATTTAAAAATATTTTTTTTCATTTTTTTTAAAAATAATAAAAAATCGTTAAAATCCATAAAAAATTAAAAAATATGGATACCTTTTTCACCGCCTCCTAGGCCCTAGCACCACCACCTTCGATCGGTAAAAATTCTGCCACTTTTCATAAAAAATTTAATTTTTCTTCGAAAATGTCAAGAAAATGACATTATTACTCTTCATAATGCCGAATTCTCATTGAATCTGCTATTATTATGGCAATACTAAAACATTTGGCAGATGTTTTTTTAAAAACAAATTAATAAAAATGGTAAAAACCCATAATAAAAAAGGATAACATTGATAGGTGAAATTTCCATCATTATTTGTGAAAAATGTCATTGTTTTATGAAAATGTCAAGAAAATAGCATTATTACTCATCATAATGCCAAAATTCTCATTGAATATGTCATTATTATGGTATTACTAAAAATGTTGGCAGATTTTCAACCGGTGATGGGAGCTGGGGGTGGCAGAGGCACAGTTCTTTTTTACGTTTTCATTTTTTAAAAAAGTTTTTTAATTTTTTTTATTTTATAAATATTTCGTAATTTTTTAAATATTTTTTGACATTTTGTTTTTACGTTTTGTATTTTTTTTTTATGATTTTATTATTAATTAAAACATTTCAAAAGCCTCAAGGGTATATTCGTCTAACTACACATAAATAGTCCTACTAGGGGAAATAAAAAACATATATGTAGTTCTATTTGTACTCTTAGTCTACTTATTTACCTATTTAGGGAATTAACTCTTTAATTAATAGTAAGACCAACATTCTCTCCTGGGGTGTCACACAGTAAAGATCACTACAATCTTCATCCAAGATCTGCTTGATACTAATGGAAATTTTGAGTAAAGAAATATAAAGTATAATTAAAGGAGTTTTTTTTCCCGAAAAAATGTTAATTAAATAAATACGTCTCAAAACACAGTTGGATTAAAATAATTCCCAACATACTGTTGGAGCTAATCGTGGTAAAGAAAAGCCATCACTCGAAGTGGTGGTGTAACACTCGAGATTTAATATAAATGGATTAATAGTACTACTCATACCAACAGAGGTGCATCTCCTTTTAAAGGAGCTCATCACCCAAAAACTCCAAAGTTAAGCGTGCTTTCATGGGAGTAGTCTTGGGATGGGTGACCCCCTTGTGAAGTTTCTCGGGGCACGCATGAGTGAGGACAAAGTGCGCGGTAAAGGCTCGTGGTGGTTTGTGGGGACAGTACTAGAGGTCTGAAGTAACTATCTCGGGTCCTGCGGGGCCGGGGTGTTATAGATGGTATCAGAGCAACCCTGCGACCGTGTGCTGACCCGTTGGATATCAGGCGGACACTTAGCAGGGGTGGATTCTGGGATTTGATTGAGATTTGAGATTGGTTCAAGGGCGCAACGAGGACGTTGCGATCCTAAGTGGGGGTGATTGTAACACTCGAGATTTAATATAAATGGATTAATAATACTACTCATACCAACATAGGTGCATCTCCTTTTAAGGGAGCTCATCACCCAAAAACTCCAAAGTTAAGCGTGCTTTCACGGCAGTAGTCTTGGGATGGGTGACCCCCTGAGAAGTTTCTCGGGGCGCGCATGAGTGAGGACAAAGTGCGCGGTAAAGGATACTATTCCGCAGAATATTTGGTCAGACGTTAGTATGGACTTTATTGGAGGCTTGCCAAAATCACAAGGGAAGGATACTATTGTGGTCATTGTTGATAAGTTGACCAAATCAGCTCACTTCTTGGCTCTATCGCATCCTTTTCATGCCAAAGAAGTGGCTGAAGTATTCACTAAGGAGGTAGTTAAGCTTCATGGCTTTCCCAAGACAATTGTGAGTGATAGGGACAACATCTTCCTGAGTCATTTATGGACTGAACTTTTCAAGTTGGCTGGTACACAACTTAAGTATAGCACCGCTTACCACCCTTAAAATGATGGGAAAACAGAGGTGGTAAACAGGTGTCTAGAGACGTACTTGAGATGTCTCACAGGAAGGAAGCCTAAACAGTGGGTTCAGTGGTTGGCATGGGCGGAGTATTAGTATAACACTAACTACCACTCCTCTTTGAAGATGACACCTTATAGAGCATTATATGGACAGGACCCACCCCCTTTTATTAGAGGGGATGTCAGTCTAACTGTTGTGGAGGAAGTATCCAAGATGACTGCTCAAAGAAATGGCATGTTAGCTGAATTGAAGGAAAATTTGGAAAAGGCCCAAAATCAAATGAGGCAACAGGCAGATAAGCATCAGAGAGAGGTAGTTCTAGAGGTGGGGGACTTGGTATATTTGAAGATTTAACCCTATAAACTAAGGAGTTTAGCCAAAAGAATCAACCAGAAACTGAGCCCTAGATATTATGGGCCCTTTCCAATAATTGAGAAGATAAGTAATGTGGCATTTAAGCTGAAACTACCTGAAGACAGCAAGGTGCATCCGGTGTTTCACATTTCATTATTGAAGAATACAATATCACCTACAACGGTTTCTCAATCATTGCCTAGATGTCTGGATGAAGAATGGGAGTTACAGGTGGTCCTAAAAGAAATTTTGGACACTAAAATAAACAAAGAAGGAAAGGTGGAGGTTCTGGTACATTGGAAAGATTTGCCACAGTTTGAAGACTCGTGGGAGTTGTTGCAGGCACTAACAGATCATATCCCAGAAGTTCACCTTGGGGAATGGGGACAAGGTGTATTTTCAGGGGGGAGTAATGATAGGCAGTGGGTAGAAAGGCCTAGTCACTACTTTAATAAAGTTTACAAAAGAAGGGATAAGAGGGATGGGGTTAATTAATGTATTACTTTTCCTTTTAGTCCCTGCGTGGACAGACTACTATAAATAGAGGGGAGGTAGTAAAAATAAAACAGGTTGTTATTCAGATGTTTTGTAGTCTGGGAGATGGGACATCTCGAATTGTCCTAGAGCACTGTATCCATTTGCGATCTGTTCTATTTTATGAATAAAAGTCTCACTCGGTTCTCACTCTTGTTTCCGTTGATTTATGCATTACTGTGAAATCTGTACTTACCAGATCCCATCATCAAGGCATCCATTTGTACAGCCAGCATTCTATTTCATCCGCTCCGCTCGCAGACACCTCTCGTGCTTAGTGTTGCGATGATCGTATGTTCTCATTTGTTTTCAGTTTTTTGTTTTTTGTTTTTTAAAGGAGTTTACTTTTTTTTTATTGTTTGCTGCTTCGTATGTTTTTGCTTTTAGTTTTTTATCGCTTTTCCTCCTTTCTTTTCTGGTTGTTTTTCGTTAGCAACCTTCCACTTTCACCTTATATTCAATACATAGTACGAAGTATAATATAAAATATTATAAATATATTATTTAATGTCCTAGTTTTTTCCCTTTTCCTATCAAACGTCTAAATTAAGTTTTTTTATTTATGTATTATAAACATTTTAGGTATTATTTTTTTGTTTTTCTATTTTCAATTTAAGATGAATATTTATTAGTTTATTAAATATTGTGTGTTAATTACTAACATGAGTTTTGTATTATGCTCTGTACCAAAATGAGAAATGATACATGTGCAAAAATGAACATTTAAACACATTAGAGAATTTAAACGAGCTTTTGAAATTTTTTATTTTCATTTTGTATGTTACGTGCATTCATCTGGTACTGATTTTATGCTCATTTTAAAATGTCATATTAATGCATATTTCAAAAGCTTCATATGATAGTATTAGATTCACATGGGGGCATAGACCATGATACTAAATTGCATGCTTCTGATACTCGATAGAAGAGATTTAATGTTCGATGAAAATATTTTGATGTTGAACTAACAAATCTTATGATTTTCATATTTGATAGAGTATTTGGTACTCTATCAATTTATTGCTCATTTGGTACGTTTTGTATGCTCATTTGGTACTGTATCTGTGCTCATTTTAAAATGCTATATCAATGCATACTACAAAGGGATCGTATTACGTAAGATTCACGTAGGAGTTGATTATAGATACTAGATCGAGCACATACCTTGATAATCTATTGCATGTTTCTAATATTCAACAGAAGAGATTTGATGCTCAATGAAAATGTCTTGATGCTCAATTAAAAAAATATAATTTTCATATCGATGCTCATTTTGTAAGTTATATATGCTCAATTTATACGGACTTATTTTTTTATTTTTCTATTTTTAATTTAAGATGAATATTTATTAGTTTATTAAATATTGTGTGTTATTTACTAACATGAGTTTTGTGTTATGCTCTGTACTAAAATGAGAAATGATACATGTGCAAAAATGAACATTTAAACACATTAGAGAATTT